TCTCTGCGTCCTCGCCCTCCCGCCCGGTCCCTCCTGGAACACTGGTCCGAGCAGCCCGGCACCCCGCGGGTCTGCCTTCCCGCCGGTTGGAGGGCCGCCCTGGGCAGCCTCTAGGAAGCGCTGCACACTGTAAGTGGTTTCGCTCCCTCAGGCGGTCACAGATTCCTTCTCCCATCCCTTAGGGACGAAAGTGTGTGGCGGAGCTGCGTCCTCGCCCTCCCGCCCGGTCCCTCCTGGAACACTGGTCCGAGCAGCCCGGCACCCCGCGGGTCTGCCTTCCCGCCGGTTGGAGGGCCGCCCTGGGCAGCCTCTAGGAAGCGCTGCACACTGTAAGTGGTTTCGCTCCCTCAGGCGGTCACAGATTCCTTCTCCCATCCCTTAGGGACGAAAGTGTGTGGCGGAGAGAACACCGACGCTGGCAGTCGGGCCCCTCTCCTGGCTCGGGCCCCTCTCCTGGCTCGGCCGCCCCGTACCAAGTGTGCAAAGCATGAGACTTCTCCGAACCTCGCGTGCAAGTGGCACCGTTGATGTCTACGTTAGGCTTTCAGGAGTTAATGTGGGGATGTCACTGAGCAGTCCCCCGCCCTGCCTTTCCTCAGTTTCCCTGAGCCTTTGATGGAAGGCGGGATACGTAGTGTGATTTGGCAGGACCGGTGTCCTTTCCAGCGAGGAGCAGCGGGGAGTAGGGCAACACCAAAGGGTTAGAAGTCAGCTTTGTCCCAAGCCTTCTGTTGGGGACTGGGGTGAAGGTTGGACCCGCGGTAGTTTAAACCCTTGGGTTCTAATCCAGACTGTTCCAAACTTGGGATTTGGGCCATGGGTTCATGGCTTGGGGGCTTTAAGGTGCTTGTGGTTTTGAGAGTTCAGAAACCAACAGCGGCTGGTATCAGTGGGAAGTGGGCCAGCTTTTCTTGACTCCAGGCATTCACCTGGCTGCTTTCACTCATGCGGCAGAGTATAACTGGCTACTGCCAGCCAGGCACTGAGCCGGGCTGGGGGCAGGGGAGGCCCACAGTGGTGACAAGATCAGTTACTTCCCCCAAGGAGACAGCATTCTCCACTCTCTGTTGCCCGAATCATTTTCTGTTGTAATCAGGGAGCTGGCGGTCTAAATACTGCTTTTTGATAACAGTAATAAAAGTACGTTGCATATATTAAACACCTACTATCTGCCAAGTATTCGCCTAAGCAATTTATGTATACTGTTTTCTCCCCACAACCATCTTGAGAGGCTTACATGACTACCCCAGCTTGACATATGAGAAAATAGGACCAGAAAGTTTCAGTGTCTTTCTCTGGTAACAGAGACAGCTGGAAATTGAATCTCAGGTCTCTGTTATATTTCCTTGTATTTTCTCTATTCTGGCCAACTTCCTTGTGAAGTATTATCTGCAGAGGTGGTGCCTGTACCATAAAAGAAATATTTTTGCCTGAACCTCTTTGTAATTTTTTTTAAAATCCTGTATTTAGAAGCTTAAGGATGTAGGATTTGGTGTAAATATGTATCTTTTGCCTGAGAGTTCTGTGTGTTCCTTTCTGCCGTATGTGGTTTAGTGGGCTGATTTTTTCCTTACGTTGAGAAATAGCATATTTCATCCAAAACATAACATCTGTTCATGTTAGCACCCCAGCTTGGAAGACTTCAGTGGCCAGTAGAGAGTTCTGACTCTTTTGCTTAATGGGGCCTTTCCTGATCCAGCTTCTGCACTCAAGCCTCATCAGTCACTCCTGGCTCTCAGGAAAGGCTGGGTTACCCGTACCACAGAGTAACTAGTAAACCTAACAAACATCTTAAAGGCTTAACCCAATGGAAGTTTCTTTCTTGCCTCTCCTGCATTCTCAATTCGGCCTCTAGGGGTGCTGTGGTCCCCGTAGGCCATTTATGGCGAACCTTTTAGTGCTTTCCATGATAACAGACAGCCTGCTGTGGCACGCGTGCCATAGGTTCATTACCGCTCCTTGGCACTTGAGGTGTAGTTGAGTAGCCTCCATCTTGTCTTATGCTTCTCACAACTTTCAGCTGAGAAAGGGAACTCAGCTAGTCACGGACTGACTCAGCGTGTCCACCTGGAAGTGGCACACATCCCTTCTTGTGGACCATTGGCCAAAGCAAGCCACATGGCCATGCCTATCTTAAGTCTTGTCGTGCTGCTGAGTTCTTCAGAGGGCTTTCCTGGAGCTTTTGGGGGACACTAATGACTGACAGTCTCCCTTTCTGTTTGTCCAGTGTTAGGTCACTCTCCTCCCATGCCTATAGTTTCTTTTTCCTCAAGGGATTCAACCCTAAAGAACCTTCCAGCCACAGCATGAAGCTCACTTTCCAGTTGCTGTGTGGTAGAGTCTACGTCAGGTCCATATGCATCTTCTTTTCCTTTGCACAGAAAGGATCCCCATTGGAAAGGGGAGGCATGGCGGCTACAGTAGATACTGGACCCTTGAGAAGACGTCTTGAGGACCTACACTGTTCAGTGGCTCAAGTAGACCCTGGTTCTGCTCTCTGAAGTTAAGTGCCCCATCTATTGTTTTCTGTGGCCTCTGGATTTGGCTCTCAGAGAGTCTTTGCTATATTCTAGTGGAATATAGCAGGGGAAAGGCTTTAAACTAAGCTAGAAATGTGGAGGATGCAGGATATTAAGTCCTGGAGACAGTCTCCTTTAGTCCAAACTCATGTTTGGGCAGTGTAATTACACAGGTGCAGGCCTTTTCTGTTTGGTACCAGCTGTTCCATGTGCCAGTAGTCAGTATTTTGCCAAGTTCTTTCCTTTCCTGTTCTCATATCTCTGTCTCCTCTTGCTTTCAGCTTGGTTTTGAGAGTGGTTTTCCTCTCTTTTCCAGTTGAAAGCATATGCTAGGTAACATCTCAATGTGTCCTGAAGTTTTAATAATAGATTCAGACTCCTTGAGTTGGTCCTATGTCAAGGCTGATTTTTTTCAAGGCCCTTTCTTATAGAAAATGTCTTGATTTCTGTATTTTATTAGTTAGGATTGAGAAGCAATGGCTTTTTCTAACCCCCTCCCCAATCCCTGAATTTGTAGATTGTATCTACTCCCTTTCATTCCTGCTTACAAAGTGCTGGAATCTTTTCTGAACTCTCTTTTTGGTAACAACTTCCCAATGCATCTAGCAGCGCGTGCTGCTAACATCCTGTTTTACACTGTCTTGCTTTAGTTCTGTAGATTCTTGTGCTGCCTTCTGAATTGTCACAGGTGATATTTTCACCACGTACATCCTTGTCCTATTAGTTTGGGATAGCAGTATTCTTACTGTCCTCTGAATGTTCAGTTGCTGTTGTATTTCCTGTTACATTGCCCCGTGTCTACGTGCCCCTGTGGGTATTAATGAGTAGAGGCTAGGTAGTGGCACTATAATAAACAGCTCTAAAATCTGTCAGTGCCTTAGCAAAGAATGAACCCCTCCCTCCCTCCTGGGGATTGAGCCCACAGCCTCACACGTGCTATGTGAGTACATCTACCACTGAGCTACATCCCCAGCTCTGAAACTATTTTGTGCTCATACTGTGTGTTCAGGGTCAGAAGGGCTGTGCTCAGTGTGTCACTCAGAAACCTGTTCAGGAGAGGGTTTCATGTTGACCTGTTTCTAGTCATCCCAGTCACTTTGGTAGGGAAAGAAAGCATGATTGCTCTCTGTTGGCTTTGAAAGCTTCCTCCCAGAAACATAGTTCTCACAAATTATTGGCCCAGACTACTCCCATGACCATGCCTTATTCAGAAAGCAGAAGGGAAATGCAGTCCTGCTACTGGGCACCTAGAGGACCAAGGGCTGGACAGCTGCACACTCCACCAGGCTGG